AAGCCTTTCAATAGGTGTCCAGAAAACTCCCTTTCCAAGAAACTAGTCTTTGCAATTTTCTGTCAACGCATACCTATACCCAGGAAGATTCTGCTCAGTTGAAGCAGAACAACATGGGTTAGTCCTTTTATGAACAGATACCACTCTTAGACAAAAAGTGAACTAACACGCAAACACAATTGAAAAGGAAATAAAACCCCCCAATCTCTCCCAGACCTCTTGGTATGACAGATGTTTTCATTTCTAACAAAATGACTAAGAATCGCCACAATAAAGGGAACAGAATAATGCGAGCAGAAAATTAAAACTTGCTACAAAAACAAAGCAAAATAACCTCAAGAGCTGGTCTTGATTTAAAGAGAAAACACTTTCATTAATAGCGACATTACAATTTAAGAGAGACATTGTACTCTTAGTTTTTTAAAATACCAATGTTCACAAGATGTAGGAACCATCTGTTCGGGGAGCACGCCGGTTCCTCCTGGAAGAGTGGGCATTTCCACCTGAGAGCACTCAGAGGTGGTACTCATGACTGAAGATGTTTTTAGAATGGCCAAAAACAGTTGTGCTCCCGTTACAGGACTCCGAGAACACACACCTGTAACTTTGGCACAGCACAGGGAAAATAGGCACGTACCTCCAGCAGAAACAGAGACTATGTTCAACAACAGGGCCTGTAGTTGTATGAAGGCAGTTAACTCTGCTTTCACAGCGTGACCATGTTTTTCTTGGCCCAGTTCTCACAGACTTCAGTTCTACAGGGTCCAGTTGAAGCCCACATTCTCCTGAGAGCATGTAGGCTGTTAAAACAGTTACAGGACCTACACAAGCTTGCATAATAAGCAGGGGTTAGCAAACTACCACGCTTTGTATTCTGCTGAGTAAGGACTCTGCTTCTAAAATACTGTGGCATCATTCTCATCTCAAAAATAATGTTTCTAAAGACTAAAAAACCCACATCTGCCTTCAGTTGGTGGGAATTCATATTAAATACTTCAGCCCCGCATAAAGGTGGGGAGGTTTATCTGAATGCCAGTCTAAAGAGTCGACTTATTATAAAAATAATGAGATGAAAGGCATGTTTTTATAACATCCCCAGCAACAACTACAATTCAACACTTGTTTCTATTTAAATACCAGTCCTTGAACTCTCAAAGCCTTTGTAAAAGATAAAATCTTTATAAACAAACACTTGTGTTATCTTGAGTCATGCAACCTCTACCTTTAAAGTGGCATCGCTTTTCAGAATAGACAACCCAATGTCTTGAAAAGCAAATCACTATTAACTTAAGCAAAAAAATAGATGTGGCTCTTCATAGACTAGTTTCCTTTATTAAAAAAATATAAAGTGAAGATTCTTTAAGAAAGTTACCTAAGAAGACTCTTTAGATATTCTTGACCAAGACAACTTTGTTTCAGTCAATTAAATTTGTTACCTCAGCACCAAGCATTCTACAAAGAATAATACTGGTTTTGGCTAAGCTCCTACTCTGCAGCATCACTCGCTAACACTCACAGACTCTTGAAGGAAACAGGACTCGTGCAGAATCTGCAGTCTGGATGAGAATCAGTTATACATAAACTAACCCACCTATTTGCTATAGATTCATTTTTCCACTCTAGGTATCACATTACATTTAAAAGGTGGTGACAGAATCATTTTTGTGTTTTAATTTTGTCTTCTTCCAAGCCAGGAAGAGAAGTGGAAAAGCCCAGGTGCATTGGGAGACAACAGTGTGTTGCCATCCTTAGCTGGGAGGAATGAGGTGAGAGGATTTGTTCTGCCAATAGCAAGAGCGCTCACACACCTCCCAGGTGATGTAATCCTTGAAGGCCAACCTATGGTAATAAGTGATCATCCAAGTCTTGCTGACCACATCTGGCAGAAACCAGGGTTTCTGCACATTTCATACAGCAAAATGTTGAGCATTACCTACTTTTATACTGCAGGAAGGAATTTACTGAGATTAAATGTAATTATCTTGACAAGTTACAACATTTTTTAAAAGCACCTGCTTGGCTTCAGTTCCATTTCACATTTTGACACTCAGGCAGCAAAGCATGCAATTTTCCAGAATAAATCTCTTAAAAAGTGTTAGGTCAGAACTTTAGTGGAAACAAAGGCCTCTTTCATAAGGATCTCTAAAACAAGGACATGTGACCAAAATTCTCACTTCAACAGATAATTTAAGGATCTTCCCCCTCTATCCCCCCCCTCTCGATTGAAATCCAGAATACACTTGCAGAATGGACTACAGAGAGCAGCTCAGGGCTAAAACCCCTGAAGGGAAACAGAAGCGATGTAGCTGCACAGGAGAGGCTCAGATACAAAGTCAGCTTAAGAGCTGTGCACAAAGGCAGAATTGAAATGGAGACGCTGCAGGAAGTGAGAACACCAGAAAACCAGAATAAATTCCATGGGTAAACTAATCCAGTTTCTTTCTGCAACAAGAAGACCCATATTCTTTATTAAACTATTCTTACAAATCGGAATGATTACTGAAGATAACAAACATATGCAGCAACTAAATCAGCTACAGCCTAGGGAAGTATCCTCTTTTTCTTTTTTAATCCTTCCCCTTCTCCTGGGAAGGTTACCTGCCTGTAGCTGCAGAGGCTGCCTGTTCCCAGCCTGCGGTGGGCACAGACTCCTGCCTGGAGACCAGAAGTGTCTGCTGACAGGCTGGGCTGCCATGTTTGGCGCTTCACGTGCGATGGGTTCCACCACCCATGCTCTGGTGCAGCAGCCATGTTCAGTGCAAGTGTGAACTGCCTTACTGAAAGTTTATTGGGGAAGTGATGAGTGTACACATGCACACTCTCAACAAGAACGCAGCAGAACTTTGAGCTCACAGCGTTTCCACCACCCCGTGAACACACTATTAAAGATGCTGAAAATTCCAGGACAGTCAAGAAGCACCTATCTTTTTCTAATGGTTTCCAAAAGCTTTTTTAAGCGGTAGCTTGTTTCACTTTTCTTGCACATGACTGCACTGAACCATTCTGGTTTTTCCTGTGGGAAACAAGCTTAACAACACATGCTCTTACAAAAGCAGAATTAATGTTTCCTCACGGTTTTACAGAAATAATTTTTTAATTTAGAAAATCAGAAATCCATTTCCCTGCCTGTTTTGCTTGGTAACTGCTACTCTAAAAGATAGCACAGTAATCGCCCCCCTCCACCAGACAACAGTGCCTCTCTAAAACTTCAGTATATAGTTTAAGCCTTTCAGGCACTTGGTACACCAAGGCTGTCTTCTCTCCCTCTTTACTTTTATCCTCTGTGCACAAGCAAATAACACTCAAGCTTTTCTGTACCTCAGCTCACAGAAGACATCTATGTGCCAAACCAACTTAGAAGACATGTCCAAAAATTACACTAAAATAGCTGCAGCCCGTTCACCTGCCAATTTAACAGCTCAAGTCTTCACTTGTATGACTGTGTAGCAACTGTTGATACTGCAGAAGTGCTTTAGACAAAAATGGTTTAACTGCTCAGTATATTGCAAATATCAGGAAAATAAGTTGAGGCACCAATGAACATTTTCAGCATTGCAGTATCTTATTAAAGTTTAACTGCAAACAAAGTTTAGTCTTCTCTCTGGATTTATTTGTATTTCAAAAGCCAATACAAGATGAAAAACATTACATATGCATCAGCTGCTTCTGTAGACTAGAAATCAACTAGTCACTAGGAATTTAACAATATGCAACATTTATATGTTCAGCTGAAAGGGAATATTCATGCCTGGGTTTTTTTCCAAGCCCTTGGCAAATGTAGGAACTCCCTTTGCTTCAGAGTAGCTCAATTATTTTTATGGAAGTGACAGCAGGTAGTTATTTAAGTAGGTTGTTTTGTTACATATAAATGCCACTACAGACAAGTCTTTGTACAGCTCTGCTTTACTTTCATGGCTTGGTTCAACTCAAAACATTAGTCCTGGAAAAGCCCAGTTACACAAATAGCATAACTATGTTAAAATATTAATCTGGTTTTAAGTATGCAAGATCTAGTCAAAGCAAGTATCAATTTCAGCTGTTGAGTTTTCAAAAATGCAAAAAGCCTTTGCAAAAGACTATTAAGGTTTCTATCACCCTACCAAAGGTAGCAGTGAGGAAAAAGTCCAAGGTCTATTTTTCACAGTGGTGTTTAAGTATTAAGCTTGTTTTCATCCATTTATTCAGTTGGCTGACATCCATTTGACATGTAACATTTGAAAACTCAGTTAGCAAGCTGCTAAAATAAGGAATCTGGATAGTTTGGTTGCAGTTTTTCTATTAACATAATAGGCAAGAGCTTTCTAGAATTTGTCTTGCTGATATACTGATCTCTAGCAAGTCAAACAAAGTTTTACTTTTAATTTTTAAAATACATAAGTTTAATTACTTAGCCAATATAACAGTTCTACAAACCGCATCACAATCTTGCACAGCTTATAACCAAGACCAATACTAAAAGCGAAAACCTTTCTAGTGACAGCGCTAATACGAATTGGCAATTTTAACAATTCTGTTCAGAAAACATCCATTCTTCTACACCCCACAGATGTCTAGCATTTATGTAAATACTTATTAGATCCAGTCATCATGCTACAGTATTAGTCAGGTTAATAAACCTCCCCACTGTAAGAACACACCAGCATAAGGAATGAGCACAAAGCAATCTATATGAAATTTTAGAGTAACTTCCCAGCAGTATGCTTGTGGCCCATCAAATTCAGACTAAAGTACTGTAGATTTAAAATATTTACTTGTCTTCTTAGCATACCTAATATGTAAGAATAGTTCCTCATTCAATTCCCAAAAATAAATATAAGCTTTCAATTGAAAGCATTTATTTTCCTAGTTTTCCAAAGTGGAGTCTGGGGGGGGGAATAATTCAGGCTGGTCTTCAGTCCACATCAGCACATAAAAGCACCTCCTGTCCCAGCATTCGTGCAAACCCAAGACATTTTCTCCCAGTGAGATGTGACCGGAGCGCTCGTCTGACGTGCGGCGGTTCAGTCCGTTTCCATGGCAGCGCTGCGGGACTCCTTCGCCACCATGAGCCGCATGAGCTGGCTGTGGAATTTCTCGATCTTCTTCACGTCTTGCGCCTGGTCTGTTCGATACAGCAAACACTGCAAGAGAACGTTGCTTCGGATCAGATTTCACCTGGACTGGTTCTAGCCTGTTTGTAGTCGCAACAGATTGGTGCTTGGAACCCAGAAAACAAGGTAAATACCTGAAATGTTAGTTTTCGGCACCTCGTTACCATGAGGCAGCACCGACACAGATCTACCCTGTTTTGAAATGCACACACATCTGTGTCTACATTTAAGTTTCTCTGAAAGGCTCTAGCCTTCCATTTTGAAAACAGGGAAGCTCATGATTTATCCTAGTTCCTTCTCTCAAAAAGAACTTGGGGTTTAAAGCTGTCTTTGAAGACAATGCTATTTGTGTTGTCTAAAAATAGAACCAGATTTGAAAGCTGAAATTACTCTGTTCTGAAAGTAAGCAGATTTTGCCTTTCACGGTCCTTAATGTTACACTACCAGTGACATAGAATCAGTTCAGTATTTCCCACTGAAGATGATCCCCCCTCCCAAGCAAAATCTTGTTTCTAAGACAGTCCTAAATACAGAACATAGCATCTGAAAAAGATGAAAAGAAACTCTTTCACGTGACAAGCCTGTAAATTCAAAAGGAACAAGAGCAATATGCCAGTGACACATCACAGAAAGGACACTTAGGGGTTTTTTTGGGTGGCTTTGTTTTAGGTTTTGTTTGTTTGGGGTTGTTTTTTGTTTTTGTTTTTTTTGGTTTTTGTTTTTTTTTTTTTCCTTCAGCTGCACGAGTTCTACAGATTGAATGTAAAACAAGACTTTCCTTCCTGCCTTTACGAAAAGCCAACAAAACAAAAACACAACCAAATCCCAGAACTGAACGAATCCCCTGCCCCTCTCAACCCTAACCCCTTTCACACTACTGAGAGCCCTCCCAGACTTGAGAACAAAGGCAACCAGTAAGCACAACTGCTCCACCTCCTTTTGCAGCGACCCTTGGGAGGACACAGCAGAATCCCATGAATGTATGTTCCATAGTTTTTACTGAATGCACAGCTAACACCACAGCAGCATTTCTGAAAATGGGATCTCTCAGCTGCAAGTGAATCTTGTTGTTCAGCCTGCTAATCACAAGGGAAGTTAACTTACAGTTGGAAGTTGTCACCACTCTGAGTGGACAAAAAAGACCATGCTCATATGAGTAAACACATCTCTTTGAGGATGCTCCCAAAACACTTCAGCAGAAGCTACTCAACTCCTAAGATTTTTGTAATGCTTGTTTTCCTTGGTTTCACAGAATCCTAAGATAATGTTGACACCCATGAAGAACACTGAAGTGGCAGAACTTTTCCTGGACTGCGTGGAGCTGAACCATGGGTCAGCATCGGTCACAGACACAGCAACTAGCGAAGGCTGAGCACAGTGAGTTTTCAGAAAATTGTCAGGCAAAGGCAATGGCTGAGAGCTCCCAGGCTGACTGACAGCCAAACCTAAGTCCAAGAGAGGTACAAAAAGCCCTGAAAGGGGAACTCTTTCTGTACTTACTGCTACATCATCCGTTACTTTGATGCAGAGGTTCCCATCACAATGGCGGTACTTGAGAACAACCCGCACCTGAAATGACAAATGTTTTAAGAATTAATATTTACATCTAACAATTCTCAGAAGATACCTGGTGGAAGTCTGCCCAAATTCAGATTATCTTTTATTATAATTATGTACTGCTTCACATTTCCACCACCTCTATGGCAGTGCTCACTGGCAGCCACTACAGCCGGGACGGTGTGGAAGCTGAACCATCCCATTCCATGATGTGATTTCCATCACATCCCCCAACACATCAGGAGAAAAACTAACTGGAGGCTTGCATTTATAAACTTGAAAGACTTACAAAAAATAATTCTATACGAAGACTTGAAAGGGGTTAACTGAGTGGGGCAAGCTCAACACCAATACCTTTTCTTCTACAGTACCTAAACCGTTATGTAAAAAGTCCTGTTTCCAGTCACTACAGTTATTTCAGTAGCTGCACTGTTGTCTGTGGACAGCTTTGAAGCATTCTGACATTTTTGTAAGTGGAATGGGAAGAAACAAAGAATAACACTTTTATAGTAATTAAAATGAGAGGACTGAAGAGAGTTCTTTGAAACTAAATCACTTTCAAGACTAAATAAGGCTAAAAATTGATGTCTGAAAGCAAGCATTCAGCATCGAACCAAAACAGCAACTGCTGTAGTCACCTGCCCTGAGCTTGAACTATCCACAGTCCCTCTGGAGGAAAATCACCAAAGCTGATAAAAATCAGCACCATCAGCAACTGACAGCATTGAAGGCTTCCTCCTGAACACAGAGCTGGCCACATGAACTTTGTATCTATTGTTCCTAGCATCAGGAACTAGAAACAAAACAAGGTGTCCTTTTGAGAATGTTCTGAACTCTTGCTATAAACAGCCCTTTGTTGTCCAGAGAGCTGTGCTAATGGTCAACAACCTCCTTGACTAGAAAATGCATTCTGAAATCTCTGCTCCAAGATGGATCTGCTCACAGATTTATCCATCTTGTTTGAAAAACTGTCATTTTCTGACCACAACAGCCACGTAATACAACTGAGCAGGCCCAAAAGCACAAGACAGGCTGCAAAAAGCAGCAAGCATGGACTCAACAGATAAACTGCCCCTGCAGAGGGGAGGATCACTCAGTACCTAGTGTCACCAGCACACAAGGAACACACATTCATCTCCCACAGTTCTCGCTCTTCCTTCAGTTTCCTGACAAGCCCAGTCAGATATAGAAGCTCCTCAGGCTAGCAGTGCTCTGGCAGATTAGAAGGAGGGTACTCACGTTGTGAGCCAAGGGCCTGTATGAACACCTCTGCAAACAAACAAGCTTATCGGCACGGATGGGAAGGGACTGCTCTTGGAGGGTCCCTCGGAAAAGGGGGAAGAGCAAATCCTGGCTGCAGTGACATCCCTCCTCTTTTACTTAATTCAATGTTATGAAGCACAAGACGGTAAATTAGGACAATTCCGCTATCAGTAGATAGGTGGCAATTGCATATGAAGTGGTCACCTATGCTAACTGAAGAGAGATGTTAAACAGTACTTCTGAAGGTTCCTTTGTGTCCTGTTTCTAGTGAAGAGAACAAGGCCTTTTTTTCTCAACCGTTCAAGTTCCATGTTACCTTTTGTGTTCCTTTTTGGCTGAATTAAAACACTTTCTCTGAAGACTGAAGTTACTTTTAAAATTTGCACAATACACTCCTGAAAAAGTTACCAGAAACAAAAAGCAGTCAACTCCCAGAGCAATTACTCTTTAGGAAGCGAACACCTTCCAGTCTGAAATGACACTGCATGCAACAATGCAATGTAAGAGCTCGTGAATGGTTTAATTTTTTAGGAAGACAAGTTCAAATGCAAACGGTACAGTCTTAAATGTTGGAAACTCATAAAATAAACCAATTCTTGACACACTCTCCCTTCAGCAGAACTCCTAATACCGGTTTTTAACACACAGGTACATTGTAAATAAGCACAGAACGGCTGAAGTTTGGTCCGTGGGGTTCATACCTGTCGTTGGTAACAGCTGAGATACTGTCCCCTATGCACATTTTTGGGGTGTTAAATGATAACTTCTGCCTGTTTCGTTGAAAAAGAAGCTCAGGTGTGTCACCTGCGACTAACGCCCTTGCCTTACCCCTGCTTCTCGCCTTCCCCGCTCAGGCCGCTAGAACTACACCTCGAGAAAGTTTGGTCCGTGGGGTTCATACCTGTCGTTGGTAACAGCTGAGATACTGTCCCCTATGCACATTTTTGGGGTGTTAAATGATAACTTCTGCCTGTTTCGTTGAAAAAGAAGCTCAGGTGTGTCACCTGCGACTAACGCCCTTGCCTTACCCCTGCTTCTCGCCTTCCCCGCTCAGGCCGCTAGAACTACACCTCGAGAAACCAACCGCCGGCGCTCACCGGCTCACCCCACAGTCGCCCCTCCTTGAATCTGTTTCAGGCCTACCGCAGGTGACGGAGGCCCATCCGTCAGCCCGCCCCCAGCCCCCCGCCAGGCCTCTGGGCCCGGTGCCCGCCGCACCTTCATGGGGTCGGCGAGGTAGAGCTTCTCGGCGGCGCGCGTGAACTCCTCCCAAGCCTGGTAGTGCGGCATGGCGCGGCCGGCCCGGCGACCCC